AGAGACATTTGACACGAGATAGAATCAAATACTCCCTCTATAACGATATATAAGGAAAAAAATATTTCACACTTATTAAGAAAACACAAACATAATCAATTAGAATTGTGTTTTTTTAGAAGACTTTTTAAGGGAAGATGGAAAAATAATTTCAATAAGTTATTGATTTTGGAAAAAATGAGAGAAAAAACAAATTAATGCAACTTACAAGATGCATTTTTTAAATAAAATAATTAAATGAGATAAACTTGACCTTTTTATATTATGACAATAAAAATGAGTGATTTTTTACTTATATTTCATTATAGAGAGAGTATGGTAGAAGAACTCTACTTTGGGCATGTTAGATTACTTTAGCAGAAAAGGTAGTTAGAAACACTTAAATATAAGTGGCAAGATCAAAGTTCAAACATGATTTGAATTTGATTAAGGATGTTGAATAGTGATATTAATATAATAAAGAGCATTAAAATGGTTGATAAGTAAATTGACATCACCACAATTTAAAGTCAAGGTAGAGAATTATAAAAGAATACCTTAAAATTATAAGGGATGAAGAGAAGGAAATTGTATTTCGTATATTAGAAATCAAACTTATAAGCTGAAAAATATCAAAAGGTCGACGAAGGATGTCAAACCACATTTGACGGTCGTGGTCAATCGGAGTTCGATCAAGGCCAACCATCGACACTCAGATCCCGCAGTCCTCGAGCATTGGACCCAAACAATAATGAGATTGATGATGTGGAAAAATATTGATTTTGGACATGAGAAGAAAATAAAATAAGCTAACCAAAAACGTGACTATAACTAGAAAAGGTAAACTATGGTTGTGTGTATATAGAAAGACACACACGTGTTATAGACCAACTGTCTTTCAAACTCCCCTCTTATTATTCAATCCACTTGGTTGCTTTGGCACTACACAAGTTAACTATTCAAATGAGTGTTACAAAACCATAATCTCATGTTACCTTTATTCTTTACTTCAAACTCAACAACCTAATCACGAGACAAAGCATGGTTTTCCAACCTTTTCTATACCTCTTCTTAATCACTACTTTAACTTCCTTAAAACTCACAAAAATAACAACAAAATATACAATTCAACATCTTCAAAACAAAAACCACAACCATGAAACCTTCAACAAATGACACAGCCATTGACATTGATCATTCATCTTCCAAAAGAGTATCTTTCTCCGAAAACAATCACACAAACGTTGAACAACAACAACATCAACACAATGTTCCTTTGTTGCTTCAACCATCCTATTCAAGATCAAAATCAATCATCTTTGATGAACTAAGAAACTTCCGCATATGTCTTAAATGGTGCGCTCTTGATCACTCATCTTGCGTTGGAAAACTCATCTCTTATGTAACCTTCATCCTCCTCACTTTCATTATTCCTCTCTTCACAACACTCTTTGTTCAAGTCTCTGATGCTTCCCCTCAAGATGACCCTATCTCCTTGAACAAGCTTGTTCAAATACCGGAATCCGCACTTGCCATAATCTCCTTCTTCGCTCTTTCCCGTTTCTTCCTAAGGTACGTAAACAAATTAAACTCATCACCTGCATGCATGCGTGCGCGCGCGTGTGTTTTTCATGGTTTTAAATTGTGGTTGTGATCGCAGATACGGACTTAGACAACTACTATTCTTAGACGCATTGCAAGATGACATTACATATGTTCGACGAGGCTACGCGCGCGAGCTACAGAAAGCATTTAGATACTTGGGATACATAATCTTACCCTCTTTTTTTCTAGAGCTTGCTCATAAAATCATCTTCTTCTCAGCAGTTAAGATTTCGGCACCGAATATCAGTGCTGGATTTCCTCTACACTCAATTGTGTTTGTGTTGATGTTAATTTCTTGGTTATATAGAACAGGAGTATACTTATTTGTATGTGTGATTTTTAGAGTAACTTGTCAGCTTCAAATATTGAGATTTGAAGGTGTTCACAAGCTTTTTGAAGGGTTTGGTTCTGAAGCAGGTGTTATATTTAAAGAACATGTGAGAATTAGAAGACAGTTATGGATTATAAGTCATAGGTATAGGTTTTTCATAATTTGTTGTGTTGTTACAATGAGTGTTAGCCAATTAGGTGCTTTATTGCTAGTTTTGGCTTCGAAGTCGGAGAAGACATTCTTCAACTCCGGAGATCTTGTGGTAAGTATATATTTGTTCAGATTCATTGAATAACTGATGTATCTGGTTTCTATATGATCTGAGACTTGTGATTGGCAATCGTTTTATGCAGATATGTTCGGCGGTGCAATTGAGTGGCTTCTTCTTGTGCATCCTAGGAGCAGCAAAAATCACACACAGAGCTCAAGGAATTGTGTCAATTGCAACAAGATGGCACATGTTGGTGACTAATGCTTTTGCTGAATCAGAACAATGCAAAGATCAAATGTCTGATGCACTAGCTAGTGACAGTAGTGATTCTGATTCCTCGGATATTCACATATCAATAATTCCACAAAGACTTTCTTCCTTCCATACAAGACAGTCATTAGGTGAGGTTTTATTTCTATATTCAAAAACGTCATCTCTGAATGTGAATGTTCTTAGTGTGTGTGATTTTTGCAGTGATGTATCTACAACACAACCATGGAGGGATAACATTGTATGGATTTTCACTAGATAGAGGATTGATTCATACTCTATTTGCCTTTGAATTCTCTATAGTGCTTTGGATTCTGAGTAAGGCGGTTGTCTTGTCATAATATTACAAAGGAATGTGTATATATTTGTTTTAGAGAAAGTACTAGAAACTCACACACAACATGAGTCCCCCATTTTATGTGTAACTATAATGTTTGAAATTTGTATGAGATTTGTATACTCATTAAAGCTTTCTTAGAGAATTAATAATACTCTACAGCTATATAAATTAGGAATGTTCATGAGTACCACTTTTACTTGAAATTAGTATAAATGAAAGTGTAGACATATAAAGAGAAGCTTTGCTTCTTATTCTCTTTTGGTAGATGGTTATGTAATTAATTAGTTGGTTTTAATATTTTTCTATATTTTTTTTTTTAAGACGTAGTTGTAATATGAGTTATGTGAGACGTTGGATCGAACTCTGTTCGCATGTAATGCGTGTTGTAATCGAAGTTTGTTCTAACATGCATTAATCAATATTGCTAGGGTTGTTAGTATGTTGAATTGGGCCTTGCTTGTAAGCCCAATTGTTTAAGTTGGCTTGTACCCTAAGTTGACTTGTAATGGGTAATTGTTAAAAAGCCCATTAGATTAGTGTGCTATTTTTCTTATAAATAGGATGCTAGTTTCTCAATCTTGTCATAAGGAAAAATAAGAAAATAAAATTCTAATTTCAAAGGAGAGAGGTTATTTTGTTATTATTTTATACTTGTAATCTTGTTCTAATAGAAAGGAAAGAATAGCAGTTTAATAACCAATCCTTGTTGTTCCTTGTTGTTTTACCTTGTTTTCTTTGTTAACCCTAAGGCTTGTGAGTTTCTTGATCATTAATAAACCGTTTATACTTTGTTTAAAGTATCCGATTCACAACAAATTATAATTTTTTTTCCATAAAATATACTTAAGTATAATATGTGAATTTTTTACTCAAATAATTCACCTTTTTAAAAAAAATTCAAAATAACGTACAATTCATAAATTTTCTCAAAATACTCCGGTTTGAAAACATGAGTAAGTGTTATTACCAAATCAATTGGCGACATTTCTTTAACTTCAACAGTGGCATTAATTGGGTTGGAGACATCATAGTAGTGTCCTTCAAATCAATTGGTGTCACCTTTAAAAATTTACACATTATCATCAATTAGATTGTCAACACCATATGATATCTTCAATCTAATTGGCGCCGTCTCTTAAAGTTAGAGGATTGTCGCCAATTAATTTGACAACAATACTTACCCATGTTTTCAAACTGGGGTAGGATGAGAATTTTTTTAAAATATTGATTATTTTAGAGTTTTTTAGAAAAAGAATGAATTATTTGAATAAAGAATTCATAATATATATCTGTGATTTTTTAGAAATGAGTCAATAAAAAACCATTACATGTGTACTAAAGTATACACATACATTATAAATACTTGTCAACAAAAATATTTAGTTTAATTAATATTTTAGTCTTTCTATTTTAACTGATTTAAGAAAAATTAATAAAGTGTCTAACTTTAAATGATGTATATTTATAAAACATGACAAATTATAAAAAAACTCTATGAAACTAAAGATTAAAAAGAATAAGTCACACCCATTGAAAATATAAACATGTCATTAATTATTATTGTAAAAAATGTGAGAAATAACAACAAAAATTTTTTTATGGACTTTTAAAGATAAAAAATAAATAATACATTATTTAAAAAATGGATATGTCGCAGTGTAATAGTTAAAAATGAGTTACTTAAAAAGTTTTTGGAATGTACTATTGTACTCGTTAAAAAGTATAATGATGGACAATCTCTTATAGCATAAGGTTGTCTAAGCGTTTAATGTATTTAACTGTGTTTAGGGCTAATTAACGTAGAAATGTGAAAAAATTTATATATGATTTTCTCGTGAGAGATTGGAGATCCCTTTTCAACTATAGAATTGAGGTATTTATAAAAGAATTCTTAGGTCCGGACTAGAAAGTTAAGAGGTGGTTTACCTCATTTCATGATCAAAAACATGAGAGTAGTGGAAGACTCATTCTCCCTCAAATTGTGGGATTGAGATATTTATAAAAGACCTCTTGGGTTTAGGCTAGAAATCTAAGAGTTGATTGTTGGAAAAATAACTTTAAGCACGAGAGGGGGTAAATTGTAGTGTTTAAAAATCGCTATTACTTTTATACTTTTCACAATTAAGATTGTGTTAGTAGATTTTAGAGTAAATGACTGTGGAAATGAAAAAATAATAGAAAAATAAAGAGAGTAAGGGTTAAAGAGATTACACCAGAGAGTTATCCAAGTTTGCCGGAATGTTGGCCTAGTCCTGTCCCCAAGAGGTTTATTTTGAGATTTTGACTATAAACTTTTGAGCTTTTACAGGTTATACCCACGAACATTAATACAGTCTGATCTTGAGATTTTTACAAACATATCTCCAACCAATGACACCTTTTATCCAGGCTAAGCTAATGAACTGTTTACAGATTTGTGGCTCATCTCAATAACAAAACAAAACTTTTTTTGAAAAAACTCAAGAAACCAACCACGAAGATCTTATTGTTGGTTTATCTCATGAACAAAATTGATTCTCTTAAGATTATCACACTCTTAAGAATTCAATGAACAACATGACCACTTACAAGATATTCCTCTCAAGCAAAGCATCACTCAAAAGCACTAAGACAACCTCAAGTGAAGAGAAATTTTTCTAGAGAAAGAAAGAGAAAAAATAGATAGATAAATTCCAAAGAAAACGTAAATCGTTGGAAAGTGGCGTGGAATGAAGAGGAGGCGAGCCTCCTTTATATATGAGTTGGAAAAATCAGAAAATGAAACAATCCATAGGCCAAACTGATGAGTCAATCGATTGACATAATACTTCAATCGATTGGCCAAGTCATTTCTAATAGTATTGAGAGGACAAGCACTTAATTGATATTAATTGAAAATTGCACAAAAAGGTTATGAAGTTTTCCCGAACTATAATGTGTTTAGTAGACGATTGGCCAAGTCATTCTATAGTATTGAGAGGACAAGCACTTAATTGATATTAATTGAAAATTGCACAAAAAGTTATGAAGTTTTCCCGAACTATAATGTGTTTAGTAGATTTTATTAATAGTATTGAGAGGGCCTTGAATGATGGGGGTTGAGTCGCATTTTAGTTTGAAAGTTGATAATGCATCTCCATATGATTTTTATTTAATGCTTAAGAAAAAGCTAATGTCTTGGAACTTCTTTATTTTGAAAGGAGATTACTAAGGATGTCAATTTACATCTGTTAACAAGGATATCCGTGAGATTATCTATTCTGAACTCCAAAGTCGGAGAACTTTTCTCCATAAGGATGGAGATGGAGGGAAAAGTTCCCCCGATGAAGCTTTGAAGCGGGGATCAAGAAGTACTCTCTACCCTGCAGATTCTCAAACTCCAACCAAATTATTTAACTTTTATATATAATATACTTATAATATATAATTATATAATTTTGATATTTTATATAAAAAATAATTATTATATTAGAAAATGAAGAGCTTGATCATTTTTTTAATTTCATTGTATAGTATATTGTTTCACTATCCAAATACTCAACCCTAAAAAGTGCATCAATTACATGAAGTGTACAGATCGTCTCCTCTTCTTCTTTTCTCAATTCTCTTTGTCTCCTCCATTTCTCATCTTCTACATTCTCATCTCATCACACAACGACTTTCCTTTGCTTATTTTGCTTATGGTAATTACTTTTCAACATCAATATACTTCAATTAGTAGTATGTTTTTCATTCAATTAGTAAATTAGTGGTTATGTTTTTATAACTGCAAATGCTTTTGTATTTTTTTTTTGTTATTGATATGTGTTTTTATTTTTTTTAAAGGAAAAAAATAACAAATACTATAGTCATAGTTTTTATCGAAAAGTATATAAATATTTTAGATTCGACCTCAGTGGCTCTTCAATCTCTGTGGGGATCTGTAGAGATGGAGATGGGGAAAATGTTCTCCTGTGGTATGGATTGAGGACGGGGATGGGGAAAATATTTAAGGCATTGAGGGGCGAGGTGGAGAGCGGAGAAGCATCCTCGCACGTTCTGTGTCACATTGACATCCCTAAAGATTTCATTTATATCCACTATTGTGCTCATATTTTAAACATGCTTGCGATTGAGGGGTTACTAGATGTTAATGTTTTGTTTTTAGAATTAGTGATGCAGTTCATACATAAGATATTATCCTTCTACATTATATAAATTTGAAGCATGTGTTGAGCCAAAAAAGATTGAATGTATATAATGTTTTCTTTGGATGTTGAAACTAAGTGGAATTTATCATATCAGATGTTGAAGGGTTCTTTAAAACATTCAAGGAAATTTGAGGACCTTGAGTTACAAATTGAAAAGTATGTTCATGAGTTAGGAAAGGGGAAGGGTATTCATGTGTAAGAAGATTGAATGATGCTTACTTTATTTTACCATTTTTGAAAATACTCATGGAACTATTAGGCGAATTCTAATATGTCTATGTTATTAGATATCCTCCAAATACTTATTTGATCAAGTTTCAAATCTAAGTTAAATAAGCATTTGGAGGATCATAGATGGAATGAGTTTCGACAATCGCAAAAATCAATTTCAAATTTGAGTTAGATGAGTATTTGGAGGAAGATGTTGAGAATAATAAAGTCGAGTATGAGTTGGAGTCTCACATTAGTTAGAAATATGAAGACTTTAGCATTTATAAGTGAGGGAACTCACACACCTATCACCTTAAGGTTTTAGGTGGATATATGGTGTTTCTCTCACTTGTGTGTTGCTTTTAGCCCAATGTTGATACTCTTTCTTATGACCCAACAAATGGTATCATGAGCCTTTGTTCGAGTAAAGGGACCGACTACTTGTATCAAAATTTCTAGGAAGAGGTGTCCCGTTGAAATCAAAATGCCGGGAAGAGGTGTATTGAAATATCCAGGAAAGAGTTGTCAGCGGCGGTACAACGCCATATGTGGACAAAAGAATTCAACTTGAGTGGGGAGCATTATGGACTCACGCTTGAGAAGAGTGTGAGAACAATAAAGT